TGATTTTTAATTACATATTTAAGAGACGTAGTTTTTAAAGAGAATTTTCTTTCTTCTGTTTTAAAGTATGATCTTTAAATTTTCCAATTAATTCAAGTAATTGAAATTTTATTGTATTATTTAGTTTTTAAATGCACGTTTATTAAAACCTTCTCTAAAGTATGTACATACATATCTGTATACCATCTAATGGTTTCAAGTAAGAAAGAACCCAAAAATTAATTTTATAGAAATGAAAAATTTGTAAATTATTAATTACGAACTTACTTGTTTAGGTTGCAGAACTCGAATAGAATTGAGGGTAGCAACACCGCCGTGAAGAACACGAAGGCTCAATTTTCCCGACATTTCGGCGGTGGTTGCGGTCGCGCTTCTCAATTCCTTCTTTGCAGCTCTGCCGAATTCCTTCTCCACCTTCAGTATCAGAGGACCAAGGGTGAATTTCGTTTTGATCATAGTGTGGTCGCTCATCATGTTCACCGACACGTCCCCTGATCTCTGAAGGCTTGCAAGTCCGTAAAGTGTAGCTCGTGCCTTTGGTTTGCTCTTTCTCAGCTTGCGAAACAAGTAAGAAATGCTTATTTATTTTTAACTTTCACGTTTACTTCTCTTAACAAACTTTTTTCTCTCTTTTTTTCAAAGAAAATTTTCTAATTTTTTAATTTTCTAATTTTCAAAGTTGAATCTTCTTTCTTTCGCCTTTATCGAATGCATTTATTTTCCATGAATTTTAAATTATCGACACGAGTAAAAAATACTACAAACGAAGTTGCCTCGTATACAGAAAGAAAAGGTATTTTGTAAAATGTAACAGAAATAATACTTTTCAAAACAGAAGGTTATTAAACAACTTGTTAGATCAGTTGTGCATACTGCGCGTATAAACAGACAGATCTCACTGTAAGGCAATATTAATTAAAGAACAGTGTTCCGATATTCGCTGAATCATCGAGTTATTTCTGATTACGTTTCTGATTCATTAAATTGACAGTGATGTCAACGAATAATCATTACCTTATTTTTGTTACTGCTGTTGGTTTGGTTTTTTATTTTGTTCTTCGTTCCAGTACGATTTTTATTTGATTTCTTGTTATTTGAACTAGCCGGTCGGCTGGCGGTAGACTTTGTAATACTTTCCACGTTCGATCTGCTCGCAAATTCAGATGCGGCGGTCGTATCTGCTTCTTTCTCGATGTTGATTACGGACACAGTGATGTTTTCCAGATTTTCCATGATTTTCTAGAAGTTCGTTCGAACGATCAAAGCAGAAGTACACTTTAAACTTGCAAATTCTACGAAGAAATTATTAGTTTCTTAATAAAGTCATGACGCAGTTTCAGATAGCACTGAAATGGTATACAAAGAGACAAAATAGAAGCGAAACGAAAGAACAACTCTTTTTCGACCCACCGCCTTTTTATTTTTTTCAATAACTTCTCTTGTTATCGAGTTTGTTCGTTTAAGTTCCCTTAGCGTTATATTAAATGTTTATTGTCTAGGTTCAAATGGTTTGTTGGTAATAAAAATTGTCACACGTAAGGTTTTGGGGTATTTTTTGACCTTTGACCATTTTTGAGTCAAAAAAGACTCAAATGGGAAGAAAATTGGAAGAAGCATTAACCCTACATAGTGTGTTCTTCCATTTGACTATACACTTAGGGTCTTTGGGCCTTTTTTGGCCCAAAAAAAAGTCAAAGGTCAAAAATGACCCAATTTGATTTTTGTTATTAATATGATTTTATCGATGACCCAAAGATTTCTAAATTGCTTATTGCCTAATTTACCGTAGCAATCTAGTATCTTGTAAAAATTTTTCATCGATACTGTATCACGTACCTGCGTGTGCTCGGGGATTTCCTCAGTTGTTTTCTCTGTTGGTGCAACAGTAGCTCCTAAAGTGCTTTTCTTCGTCCCGTTCTTGTTGCCATTCTTTTTCGTTTTGTTCTTGCTTTTCTGCTTGTTCAACTTCGATTTTGCATTCGGATTGGTAAGTTTCACCGTCACGGGGTCGTAATTGCTACGCAGGATCTTATTGATTCTTCCTAAAATATTGTCCACGAATCGATTGTACTTCGCCACGTAAATGGCCGAAACGTCGTTGCTCGCGTCCGACTGCATCATGCCTGAAATTTACAATTATCACGTTCATTTATATGCCCAATTTTTGTATCGTTAAATAATAGAGTGTAGAAACATTTGTTGCGTCGAAACATCTCCACTAAAATAGAATATTTTCGTCGTATTATAATATTGTTTGTACGATAGAAAAATATTTGAAGGCTCAATGAGTTCTTCATATTAAAATTAAAAAAAAAAAAAGAGTAATTTTTATTGGAATAATTAGATAAACTTTGAATGGGGTTTTCAGATTACATGTTCGATGTTAAAATTTTAGAAAAGAAGGGGAATTTTTTATCAGAATAATTAAACAAACTTTCGGTACAAAATTTTAGATACAACAGAGCTTCGATGATTCTGAATAAAAAGAATGTTTCAAGTTGTTAGGTATTTCAATTGTTTTTTTAAATGCCTCACAGTACATACGAAGTTTACGTTTGTCATTAGTATGCAAGGGTACGTCGAGCACGTGTTCTCCACGAAATCTTTGCCATGAATTTAGGGCAATGAATAAGAAAGGGGCGTCTGACCTAGAAAACATCCTAATAGTGTCCTTGACCGCGATTCTCAGACTGGCCACTTTTCAATGACGTGTAATCTTACAGCAGACCAATGTCAGTGACAGGTTTTCTAGAATGAAGTTTTGAGGGAAATGCGGCAGCCACGTGGGAATCGTGGATATTTTCGCGCGAAACAGTTTTATTTATTTAAAAAGAAGAATTGGACTATTGAAGATGTCTGGATAAAAAAAATGCTCGAAGAACGTCAAAACGTTTATTGTCTGCGAATTAAAGTAGATAGTGGGCTAGATTAATGCGTGTCCAGTGGTTGTTGACTGAAGTCGACGTTGGTATCGAATAGGAAGAGAAACATGTATTTTCAATTTTTTAAGAAGTTGACGAATTCGAAATTTGAGGAATAATCTAATGTTATTTTAAATAGCATGTAATTGCGAATTTCGAATTTTTTAACGTCCAGGATGGATGTAATGAATGTTTCGTTCAAAAGTATTTCGTTCGTAACGAATTTTGTGCATCGCTCAACGTTCAGAAGAAAATCCATGAATTAAAAAAGGGTTTACTTTTGTTTACGAATAAAGACAGATTGTGCATTGCTATAAGCAAGTTGTGAAATAGAACAATGTCCAATAGGAGATTATTTATTAAAAATGGAAATTACTGTAGTAGTCATGCAGCTTGCAAATTTATCGATGAATTTGTAACTGAATAAAATAATCTGTAAAGATGTTTGTTATTTAAAGATTTTAAGTTACATACTCCCATTCATGAATGGAAGTGACATTAATAATTATTGTACAGACGAATGTACAATGAAAAATTATCGAAATCATTCGAAATTTTATATTTATACTCTTTGTAATTATATTCTTCGTACGGTATTGTTCAGAAAATAGTTTTAAACAACAGCGTTATTTCTATTTTATACACGTAGAGATATAAGAAACAAAATGAAAAAAGGTGTTCTATTTTAGTTGTATCTTCTCGAAGATTAGATACCGTCTCTATCTGCGTTTATATCAAAACGTGCGTCTGAAGTACTTGTGATATAATCAATATCGAAACGTGCTTGTATCTTCTATCTTTTTTTGATTCTTACATACGATTCCAATTAATAACCTTTATCGATTTTATTGTTTTACTTTTTAATTATCTGTTCGTCGCTTCACATCTCTCACTTTCCATATTACGTTATCATTTCTACTATGATAAAAAAGACGCAAGTTACAGCATTATATTAAATCTGTGCAAAGGTTTCCATCGCTTATAAATCAATGGCACTGAGTAGCACTGTGTGCTTCCTCGTTTAAATTTTCACAGTTGGTATATAACATTAATATCCCATTATCAGTATTCTTGTCACAAATAGTTGTAGATATTAAAAAAAATAAAAACTAAATGCACATTCTTCAAAAAAGTACTGTAGTAACTTCTGCATGGACTTAACAAACGAGCCACTAGGGAGCCAAAGTGACTGACTCCGCAAAATTAAATTTACTAAATTTTTTTTCTTTATCAAGAGTCAAGCATCGAGCACGTGCTTTGATCCTAAAATTGGAAGAATTTCTAAAAGCGGAGTTGATCATTTCGTCTTCTGAGTGGCTCGAATAACGAGAAATTCATTCGTACACACCCAGGAAATAATGAAAAAGAAGAAGAAGAAAAAGTAAGACCGATCTTATTCGGTGCATCAAGTTGAGAAAAATATGAGCGTGAAGGGGTTAATGCTCGAGCATCGAATTATTCAAGTCACCGATGGTACAGGTCTGTACAATCCAGTGTGACTAGCGTTAAGCTATGCGATGAATCGACACGCAAAACTTCCGTGTACCGACCTCGATGAATTAAGTTCGTAAGAAAGAGCGACAATGTTAACGGTATATCGGAATCCTTCGGCGCAGTCAAACTGGTCTTCGATCTGGGTCACGACCTGCTTCCTACTCACCTACAGACCTATCTAGCCAAGGTATGCGCACGTATGGGCAAGCTTCCTCGTGTCTACCTAAAAACTCTCCCCGGTCGTTGATCCTATTTCAGCCACTTTCCTCCGATCGATCGGGATCGACGCGTTCAAAGTGGGGCCACGCCGATGAATCTTTTTTCTTTTTCTTTTTTTTTCCAAGGGAATTCGTGCTCAATGGAAATACAAGATTGTCAATGCTTCGCAAGAATTTGATAGTTTGGTGTCGTTTCGAAGATTTTAAGGGAATAGATAGTTTTTTCATATAGAAATTTTATCGATCGTTGGAGTTACTAGTTTCGTGATTTATGGAAAGAAAATGGGATTTGAAATTATTAATATTAATATGGGCCAAAATTTGGCCAAAATTACTAAGTTACCATTCGGTAAATAAAAGAAAGTACCTTTGTCAATTTACATTCCATACAAATCTACAGAAACTATAAAAACGTTCGTAACGAATATCCCAAAGCTGCGTTGCAGCAACGAAGAAATTCAAAATGGAAATTTTGATCGACTAAAGAAAGAACATGCTACCCATAAATTTCTGTTTCGCGCAAATCACTTGGAAAACTTGAAAAAAATCATCGATCATCGTTGAAAAATTCGAAAGCTTGAAAATGAAGCTCGCTCTAATTAGATTCACCTCGAGTAAAAATTCGAAGAAAAATTGCACGCTAAAAAGGAAGTCCGTGACCGAGCACTCGATAATCGAGCCTCCGGATAGGGAAAATGCAATTACGTGGGGGCCTTACGATCGAGGACGGGTGCCAGCCGTGACTTTGGGTGTGGGTCAGGGTCGTGGACGAAAGAACTTCTTTCGTATCGCCACGTACTTACTTACGTTTACGCTTTACTCTCCGGGTCAGCGGCCTCATTCTGTTTTGGACCGAGTGCCTGGTGAAAGCCAAGAAAAAATTTCAACCCAGTCACACTTTTATTCGATCTGACCTCTCGCGGAGTCCTGTAGAAAGTTAATTGGCCCCGAGTGGCCATCTAATTAAAAGTTCCGATGCGTTCGTGCGTGCCGTTCGTTTCGTTTCGTTTCGTCTCGCGCCTATTTCTCTTCAATTAAACGATCCTTCCCTCGGCGAAACTCGATTGGGTATTGAACATGCCTCTTTCGACACGCCTCGTTTAGTGTAATTAGTATCTACGCGATTCTGTTGGAACGATATTCGGAGATACTCTGAACATTTTCAAGCTTTCAAATTTTTGGTGCGTTGCTCCTTCGATTGCGTTAATTTTACTTTTTTACGAAACAAGTTTTTTATTCGCTTCGGTAAAAGTGGTCAATGGGGTTAGGTTTTTCGGGGATTCCTTGAAGATTGTCGATGAGCTATCGAAATACAGAGTGGCGTAAAAATGCTTGATACTGTCGAAGATAGCTATTGAAATTTTGCGACGAGTTATGGAAAACGTGGGAAACATTTAAAAGGGGAATCCCTGAAGTGTAACTCGCGGATTTTGATGAAACTTTGCAGGTTAACAGAGAATGGAAAGTTATACGACCAGGTTCAATTTTAGGTGTAGACTTTCAATAGTTTATAAGATATTTAACAATAAAGATTGAATTTCGTCGATTAGGGAGCGTGGCTAATTTTGAAATGAGCCGCCAAATCAAGCAAGTCCTTGGAGTAGTGGCCATAGTTGGTAAGTCTGGTAAACGAAGGGCTCGAACGGTACCAATTTACCCTTGGGTTAAAATTTTTCTTCCTGCTTATTCGTCCAATTTAACTTCCGTATTACGATTTTTAAATCACCTCTTTAATACATAAGAATATGCAAAACAAATTTTTGATAATTCTATATTATACGTATCATTTTCTGGTTAATGATATTGTTGCGAGCACCGTGTATGTACTCATGATCTACTGGTGTTCGCTCCGGAATTGGTAAAAAGACGGTCCGACCTTACCGACCGGGGAATATTGATTCAACAGTCTCTGTCTTAACCTAGACTGACTGAGATACTTGTACGATTGTCAATAAATGTTAAGAGGTGTTCGTGTTCAAGTTATTAAGGAGTTTAGTTACATACACTACCGGCCAAAAGTTTAGAATCATCTTCCAGTTTTCATCATCTGCTACTAATTTTTCATAGACTTGAAGTTTATCTCAACTCTACATTTATTAATTTATCTCATATCGATTGATTTGAGTGATAAAAAATTCTAAAAGCTGCTGAATTTTTTCCGGAAATTTTTGTGTAAATTGCAATGCACAGTGATTCCAAACTTTTTGCCGGTAGTGTAGATAGTTATTAAATATGCCGAACGAAGGGGAAGCACCGAAGGCAGGTAGCAACATCAGGTTGTATCATTTTCTCATTAATGATATTTATCGCACAATTGAATTAAAAATATGATTACTCTTTTTTCTTTAGTGAATTGGATTTTTATACGAATTATTAACACTGCGTAAATCTTCAGTTTTACGTTTCAATTTTTCACCCTCCAATTTACAAGAAACATAAAAGTGTTAGGGACTTTTGCACCGCCCTGTATCAAAACATTGGCTTT